TTTTCAGAAGTAGATGCTCAGTTGTCTGATAAAGAGTATGAAATCATCCCTATTGGTTTTAGGACCTAGAAATAGATTTGCAGGACCCTAAGGGCAGGATAGAGGTCGATGAGAAGGTTTATAGTCTTTGGGTCCAAGAGGCGGTGGTTGGTTAGCATATGGGAGAAGAACTAGCAGAACCTGAGGGTGTAAGTGTTGATAGACAAAACAAAGCTCTAAGTACATGGGCCCCAGGCCAGCGCCCAGAAACAAGCCCAGACGCAAGAACCCAGCCCCATACTATGATCTCACCCCTAGCAGGCCCCCGCTCTGCAGCTGAATGTCCAGGACTTCTGCAGGTTAAAGAATGATACCTGCTAATCTCCAGTCAAGGTGCACCTGAGCTACACTCTGGACTGTAGTAACAATGTGCACCATTGTCTGTATGCCCTGGGGAATCACTAGATTGCAAGGTGGGCTTTGAACTTCGTGTTGTCACCAACCAGTGGGTGTGGACCTGGGAGTCCCATACCTTAGTGCAGGAATGTTGATGTCATGGGTATCGGGGACAGAGGAGATGAACTCCATTCATGCATGCTTTTGCGGTTGTGCCAGCTCTCTAAAATACCTTGCCTTTTTTGGTCTATGTATCAGAGACCTTTCCATCTGTCAACAATCAGCATTAGCATCACCTTGCTAATACAGCTTGTCTTGGGCCCCCTTGGGTAGAAGGGTGGTCTAGTCCTTCCTTTTGGTTCCTAATCCAGTCCTGGTTGGATTATAAGGACTTCAATTCGTCTCTATACCTAGTATTTAGCACTGTGTCAGGCACCTAGCTGTACTCAGTAACTGTTCAGAGAATGAGTGAATGAATGAATGAACGATTCCAAAAGATGAAGGAACTGGCCTGAAAATGACTTGCCCATTTGCCAAATTCATCCAGCTTGTTAGTTTCTCACCTCCTGACACCAATTAGGAATAAAGGCCAAAACCTAGATTGGCTTTTCATCCCAAGACATGTCCTGTCCTTTATATGGGTGTGGACTTAGGTTAGACTCTTGTCATTCCTAATAATTCCCTCTTGTGCCTACCTGGATGGAGCTCACCCTGGGCTATGATTAGGAGAGCCAGCTCCAGCCCCTGCACTCACTCACCTGACTCCACCTCATAACTTGACGTATTCATTCCTCTATCAGTCAACATGAGTGCATTGGAGAGCTACTGTCCATTGTTGTCTGTGGACACATGTGAAATGCAAAGACATGCTAAGGGAACTGGCCTGAGCCCGTAATTCAGCCAAGGCTGGTAATGACACATGATCAGAGGTCACAACACTCTTTTTAAAGTCACAGCAGTTTGCCTTAGGCATGGATTTAGAGTCTCTGAGCTTTCCATATACATCTTACCATGGCTTCTACTAGAGATAGCATAAGCCTACAGGGCTTTCCCTACTCTGTGTTCTCATTCGCCACTCAGCACCACACTTTTGGCACCAGATAGGTGGGGATTTTCCCCACACGTATCAGTGAAGCAATTCTGCAGCACACACCAACGAGGTGTCCGGCAATTCAATTCAATTCTGACACTAACTACCCAAAGATGGCATCAAATCCCACAGGGCGAGGGCTCAGTCCCGTAAGACTCTCCCCAACCTTGCACACCAGTTGCAAGCCCTAGGATGTGACCTGCGCCTCTGACCAACCAGCTACAAATTGAGGTTCCTACAATCCTCCACTTTGGTTCAATTAGTTTGTTAGAACAGCTCACAGAATTCAGGGAAACACTTTCCTTATGTTTATCCATTATGATAAAGGACCTTACAAAGGGTAAAATAAACAGCCGACTGAAAAGGAGGCACAGGATGAGATATGTGGGAAGGGCCAAGAAGCTCCCATGCCCTCCTAGGGACCACCCTCCAGGAAGTTCCACATGTTCAGCTGTGCAGAGCTCCCAAAACTCAGCCCTTTTGGGTTTTTATGGAAGCTTCATTATACCGGCATGACTGACTACATCATGGGCCATTGGTGATCAGCTTAACTTTCAGCCCCTCTCCTGCCCTGGAGTTTGAGAGTTGCGCTGTAAGTCCTAATGCTCTGATCATGCCTTGGTCTATGGGCGACCACTCCCCATCCTGAAGTTACCTAGAGGACTCATCCACCCGTTACTCATTAGCATACAAAAGACACTCATCACTCTGGAGATTCCAACTATATATCAGGAAACATGGATGAGGACCAAATACATATTTCACAATATTACAGCTGCCATCAGCCATGGGTGAGTGTCTCATCATTCAAAGGTTCCTTCTTTTTTAGAAACCACTGCTTTACTCTAAAGAAAGTAGATTCTTCTGAAAAGTAGGCTGGACACCCCATGTCCAGTCAGATGTGAGAAGATGGAGAAACGTTCGCATAAACAGCTGGGGTGAGAAGTCCTGCCTCTGTCAGCTGAGCCCGCATGGGAAAGATCCCCAGTCCCTAGGCCCCACATCAATGGGCACAGGGCCTTCAGAGGAAAGGACAGCCACTCTGTCGTGGAGGGAGAACAATCTGGACTCGGGTGTGTGTTTGAGGGATTCCAGAGGGTAGAGGGTGAGGAAGAGGAGTTGGGAGAGTGAGAAGGTAGGATGTTCCACAGGATGAGACCCTTCCTCTCAAACTAAAACTGATAGCCAATAAGTACAGGAAAAGATCCTTGACATCATTAGTGATCAGGGAAATGCAAATTCAAACCCCAGTAAGAAACCACTTCACACTCTCCAGGGTGGCCAGAATACAAAAGGCCGAGAACAAGTATTGGGAGGATGTGGAAAGATCAGAACCGTCCTACGCTGCTGGTGGCAATGTAAAACGGTACAGCTGCCTTAGAAAACAGCTCCCCAAATGTTAAACACAGAGATGTCACAGGACCCAGCAATTCCACTCCTACATATATACCCTGAGAGAAATGAAAGTACACGTCCACATGGACACTTAGACACAAATGTGCATAGCAGCATTATTCATAGCAGCCAAAACTCAAATGCTCATCAACTGATGAATGAACTGACACAATGTGGTCTGTCCAGACAATGGACTGTTAGTCAGTCATAAAAAGGGATGAAGTACTGATACAGGATATACCATGGATGAACCTAAAAAATGTTAGGCTAAGTGAAAGAAGCCAGTCACAAAAGACCTCCTGTTATATGATTCATTCATATGAAAGTCCAGAATAGGGAAATCTATAGAAACAGAAAGTAGATTAGTGGGAACTTAGGGCTCAGCTTGTGATGTGGGGGAAGGGGCAAGAAGATGGGAGGTGACACCTAAAGGGTTTGGAGAATTTTTTGGAGGTGATGAAAATGTTCTAAAACTGACCAAAGTGATGATTGCACATGTCTGCGAATAGACCAAAAACCATTGATCATACACATTAAATGGGCAAATTGTATATATGCAAGTTGTATCTCAGTGAAGGCATTAAGAACTAAACAAACACTAAGAACACAGATCTTCTTTCTTTCCTATTCATTTATTTATTTTGAGACAGGGTCTCGCTCTGTCACCCAGGCTGGAGTGCAATGGCGCGATCTTGGCTCACTGCAACCTGTGCCTCTTGGGTTGAAGCAATTCTCCTGCCTCAGCCTTCCAAGTAGCTAGTATTACAGGCACCCAACACCACGCCTGGCTAATCTCTTGTATTTTTAGTAGAGATGGGGTTTCACCATGCTGGCCAGGCTGGTCTGGAACTCCTGACCTCAGGTGATCCACTTGCCTCGGCCTCCCAAAGAGCTGGGATTACAGGCGTGAGCCACCACGCCTGACCACCTTGACCACCTTTTTTTTTTTGGAAATCAATGAGGGAGCAACACTTTGTTACCTGGGAATTGTGGAGGCAGAGGCCGGAGGGAGAGTGTGAGGCAGGGATCAGTGGTCATCATGCCAGGCTTAGGGCATCCCCAAAGCTTTGGGACTGGGGTTTGAAGCCATCTTACCCAGGTCTTAGAGACCTGAGCAGGCCCAGCTGACACAGGCTACAAACAAATGTCCTCTTATCCTCACTGCAATCCCTATAAGCTGCTCACCTCCTGTGATTGCCTTGCGGGTGTGTCCTGAGTGGCCCAAGCAGATTTCTACATCTGAACTCCTCGCTTGAAATAAAAGGAGATAAAGTGAGTACAAACACCCTTATGCGTTACTGTAGCTCAAATGAGGCCAGACTAGATCCTAAAGAAGACCTGGCGTGGGCCATCTTCTAGAGTCATCCCACCTCCCAGGACAAGCAAAGGTCCTGCCTCCAAGTTGCTGCAACTTTCTAAGTGTATCGTGCTGCTTATATGACACAGCAAGGCCGTAGACTCTGCGGGGAAAAGTTTTTTAACTACAGGATTTTAAAAACAGAATATTATTTTGAAATTACTTCGACATCTACTGTCAGGTGATGTGTAAAAGCGCTTGTATGTTACATGTTCTACGTTAGGAGATTATTTTGTTCTGGAGTTTTCTACAGAGAATTCCTTGGGAATGAAGTGCTATTGTGCATTCAGAATCGTGTGGCTATAGCAGTTCCATATTGCAGGCTGGGAACCCAGGAATGTCCCCTCTGTCCCAGCTCTTCAAATTGGGCCCTACAGATCCCACGGGGACACATTTTTGGAAAATTGCTGGGTTTCTAGACCAATCACGTCTTTGAAATGTCTTCTCGTCACTCTGTGGTTTCTTGCTTCAGCTTAACCCCACTGGCCCCATAGATCAGGCAGCTCACAATTTGAACACAGCCAGGGGGCATGGAGGATGAGAACCAGCCTATCCTGACAATCCTGGCAGCACGTGGGGAAAGCCAGGCCCAAGTTTCCATATGTGAACGCATTACATTGTCTCCACCAAGAAAACAACCCCTGTGAAACATTTATATGTGTCACCCACTTTGCCTTAGGTTCCATTACCTAAGAGACAGACCTGGCATTGCTCAATAGCACCAGGCTTAGCACTTCCAGGGGAGATCTGCATCTACAAAGAGTTAAAGAAAAAGGAATTGAATTGAGTTATAAGCAAAACATCCAATAAATATTTATTGAGTGACTATTTCATTCCAAGCATTCTGCTAGGTGCTGAGAAATCAGAAACAAATACATTGAACTTATTGGCAAACTAGCTGGGGACATGGGCAGGGAAGCCAACTGTTGTAGTCGGTTCAGTGTGGTGAAAGTTGTGCTGAGGAATGCAATGGCTTTGCAGGAGCCGGGAGCAGAGACATGTAGTTCTGCTTGGTGGGACTGGGCCGATGTCAGGCAAAGCTTCCATAAGGACGCGATGTTCAAGAAGGGTCCTGAAGAATGATTCGAAGCTGGAAAGTCAGAGGAAAGCATTGAATGTAAAGGCATAGAGGTGGGGGAAGCATGTCACATCCAGAGACGTGCAGACGCCCTGTCATGCCTGCAGTCTTTACGGGAGGTGAGAAAGAATTCCCAGGGTACATGGATGCATGTTAGGAGGCTGAGACTGGTCTTTGGAGATGATCAGACATAGGCTTGAAGACTTGATGCTTTCAAAAGCTCGCTCTGACAGTAGCGTAGAGAAGGGATGGGGGAGGCTTTGCTTATAATAAAGTGAGAAATGATGGGGGCTGAATTAAGAGAATGGCTCTGGGGGTGGAGCATGAGGGTATGTCCTAAAGATAGATGAGAGAAAGACCAGGACTTGAGAATGGTTGAAGTGGGGTACAGGGAGACAGGGGACACCTTCTGTGGCTGTAGCTTGAGTCACTATGTGGACAGGAGTGCTCGTCATTGAGACCAGAAAGCTTGGAGGGGAAAATGCTCATACGCAATTCTGAAGTTCCTAAGAGACAACTGAGTAACACACAAGGATGAGTATGAAACAAACAAGGGGCTAGGTCCCGCAAGCTCATCAAGACTTCTTTCTGAAAGAAATAAAGCACATCTCTAATGATGACAGAAATAACCACAAACCTGCGAGTCAGCCTCAAATATCTTGCCTGGGGGATTAAATGATGGCTGAGGGATGGGGTACCCCAGAATGTCCCTTGCACAGGAGAGGGCCTAGAGAAGAGAGACGATTTTTTCAGCAGGTCACATTCAGCTTACTGCAGAGCCTTTGCCTTAAACGCTCCCCTGCATTATAAGAATGGAGTTTATATGAGAGGTGAGAGGGTCCCAGTGACTTAGCAACTATGGCATGCTTCTGAAAACATTTCAAAGACCTCTACTCTGGCTTTTAGAATGCTTTCTAGAGCAAATACCGTGCATACCGACACCACTACCTGGAATTATACACCGTCTTTCTTCAGAGGCACACGAGGAGCTTCACACATCACCTTAGGTCTAGGTCAGCTACTTTGTTTCATGCATGCTGCTGGTGTTTCTGGAAGAACATGTATGAGGTGATTGCTCTTGAAAGGCTTCAGAACAATCAAGACGGTTTGTTGCTTTTGGGTTCTTTTTTTTGAGACAGGGTCTTGCTCTGTCGTCCAGGCTGGAGTGCAGTGGTGCAATCTCTGCTCATCACAGCCTCTGCCTCCTGGGCTCAAGCAATTCTCCCACCTCAGCCCTCAGCCTCCAGAGTAGCTGGGACTACAGGTGTGTGCCACCACACCTAGCTTTTTTTTTTTTTTTTTTGTAGAGGCAGGGTTTCACCATGTTGTCCAGGCTGGTCTCAAACTCCTGGGCTCAAGCAATCTGCCTGCCTCGGCTTTCCAAAGTGCTGGGATTACAAGCATGAGCCACTGCACTGGCTGGATTTTATTTTATTTTACTTTATTTATTATTTATTTATTTATTTATTTATTTAGACTGAGTCTTGCTCTGTCACCCAGGCTGGAGTGCAATGCACCATCTCAGCTCACTGCAAACTCCGCCTCCTGGATTCAAGCAATTCTCCTGTTTCAGCTTCCTGAGTAGCTGGGATTACAGGTGCACGCCATCACACCCGGCTAATTTTTGTATTTTTAGTAGAGACAGGGTTTTGCCATGTTGGCCAGGCAGGTCTTGGACTCCTGACCTCAGGTGATCCACCCGCCTCGGCCTCCCAAAGTGCTGGGATTACAGGTGTGAGCCACTGTGCCTGGCCTGGGTTTTTTTAATTTTAATTTTAATTTTTTTAATAGAAAGCATGCAAAAAGAGAGAACACAGTCATTGGATAGTATTATAAAAATAGTCGTAGAAGTGAATATAAATGATGCAAAATGCAATACAGCTAGAGTTCCTTCTTCACCCTTTTTATTGATGTGTTCACCCAAGTGTTCTTCTCACGCATAGAAGCAGGTGGTTTTCTTGACTATAGTACTATGGTTTGGAGTGTTTATGCTTCACTAATGGTACAAAATTAGCTGAGAAAGGATTTAAATTGGTGTTTCAATTATCCACTGTGATAACAAACCACCTAAAAATGTAGTGGTATAAAACAACTACTGTGTATTTTCTCACACTACTTTGTGGAGGTTTAAAACAACACAAATTCATCACCTTGGTTTCTGTGGGTCAGAACAGCCCAAATTCATCATCTCGGTTTCTGTGGGTCAGAAGTGCAGGTGTGGGTTAGCTAGGTCCTCTGCTCAGGGTCTCACCAGGTTGAAATCAAGGTGGCAGCCAGAGCTGTGGTCTCATCTGAACTAATGCAGAACTCACCAGAACACATGTAGTGTTAGTAGAATCCATTTCCTTGTGGTTGTAGGACGGAGGTACCCTCTTCCTTGCTGGCCATCCTCAGTTTCTAGAGGCTGTTCTCAAGTCCTGGCCACATGGCCCCCTCCCTCACCTTGTGGCAGCTCCAGGCCAGCAGGGGGTGCCACTGTTGCCTCCAGTGTCCTCTCAGAGCTCACCTGATTCAGTCAGGCCCACCAGGATAATCTTTCTTCTTTTTTTTTTAACTTTTTTTTTTTTTTTTTGAGATGGAGTCTCACTCTGTCACCCAGGCCGGACTGTCGTGGCCCAATCTCGGCTCACTGCAAGCTCCACCTCCCGGGTTCACGCCGTTCTCCTGCCTCAGCCTCCTAAGTAGCTGGGACTACAGGTGCCCACCACCACGCCCGGCTAGTTTTTTGTATTTTCAGTAGAGATGGGGTTTCACCGTGTTAGCCAGGATGGTCTCAATCTCCTGACCTCGTGATCCGCCCACCTTGGCCTCCCAAAGTGCTGGGATTACAGGCGTGAGCCACCACACCCCACCCCTTTTTTAACTTTTATTTTATGTTCAGGCGTACATGTGCAGGTTTGTTACATAGGTAAACTTGTGTCACAGGGGTTGTTGTACAGATTATTTCATCACCCAGGTACTAAACTTAGTACTCAGTAGTTATTTTTTCTGATCCTCTTCCTCCTTCCACCATCCACTCTCAAGTAGCCCCTGTGTCTGTTAATCTTCCTTCTTGATAAACTCAAAGTCAAACAAGTCCGGATCTTACCTACATCTGCAAAATCAATTTTTCCTATAAAGGAATGTAATCACAGAAGCACTGTCCCATTGTAGTACGAGTGCTCACCTGTAGTAGGCAGAGAGTGTTGTCCTGCCCACACTCAAGGAGAGCATGTGCAGGGCCAGTTCACCCCTCGTGTGGAAGTGGGAGTGCTGGGGGCTCACTTAGCGCTCTGCTCACCACAACCCCAAACTCACAACTTTATTCCCACCAATCCTGCCCCCTCTGGCCCAGGGGGCACACACTCCAGCAGGACTTCAGCTGAGCCCAGGGAACGCTCTGCTGACTGGTGACGAGGGACTTACCTCTTCACACCCATGACACCCACCCGCTGAGCCCCTCACCTTCTCCCACACGGCCCCGAAGGTCCTGACCAGGTCACCTCTGGCCTCACTTTCCATTCTCCCCTCCTTCCTCCCCTCCAGCCCCAGGGTCCTCCTCTATGTGGCCAGACATGGTGGGTGCACACTCACCCGAGAGCCTCTCTTCTTTTCCCTTTGCCTGGAATGCTCTCTTCCCAGTTACCAAAGATACTCAGGCTCTCTCCCCAGTTTCCTTCAGGCCCTTGCTCCACAAGCTCCTTCCGGGTGAAGCCTCCCCTCCCATCCTCCTTAAAGCTTCAGCCTCTACCTGGGACCCTTCCTCCCTCATTGCCTGCCTCCTTTAAACTCTCCTTAGTCCTCCTGCAGCCCACACAGCTCAACACAGGCAGGAGGGGGCGCTGCTGCCCTGGCTGGTATGCAGCCACCAGAGGCTGAAGCTCACCCATGTCTGTCTGGGGCCCAGGATCGCCTTCCTTGATTCCAGCTCTCTCGGGCTGTCAGGACCTGGCGCTGGGAGGCACTAGGCCATGCCCTGGCCTGAGGCCTTCTCTCTCCCTCTTTGCCCTGTGTCTCTGCAGGGGAGCCCTGCCCTGCCCCTGGGAGGGTGGGGGCAGAGGTGTGGAGAGTGGGTGTACAAGGCCAGGGTGTGCCAGGCCCAGGACAGCCTGGCGCTTGTCAGTGGATGAGTGCCTCCCCTTTAGCCTGATGTCAGGGTGGGCATGAGAGTGGGAGCAGAGGGTGCCTAACTGAGGAAAGGGTCTGTGCAACCCCCTTTTCCTACCCGTTCTCGTTTCTGAAGGCTCCTCAAGCACACTGCGGTGTCCACACCATTAGCAGCAGGCTCCTTCTCTTCAGGTGGTCTTAGGAACTTCTCAGAACTTCTGGTCTCCTCCTCCTGAGCATGGTTCCCCTGGGTGAGCTCCGGGCCATGCCACTCAACACCCTCCAGGACAGGCCGAAGGGTTTGTCTGTTTGGTGGTTGCTAAGGTTTGAAAAAAACCTGTTGGAAACTTAATCCCCAAAGCAACAGTGTTGGGAGGTGGGACCTAATGGGACATGTTTAGTCATAAGGGCTCCACCCTTATGAATGGATTCTCTCTCTCTTGTTCTCTCTCTCTCTCTCTCTCTCTTCCCTCTCCCCCAACCCCTCCTTCCACAACCATGTGATGCTGTCCACCCTGTCGTGGCAAGAAGGCCTTTGCCAGATGTGGCCCCTTAATCCTGGGCTTCCCAGTCTCCAGAACCATGAGCCAAATGCATTTCTGTCTGTTACAAATTATGCAGGGTGTGATTTTCTCTGATGAAGACAGTGCTGTACCAGGGCCCTCTTGCCAAGACAGCCAGCTGATAGGAGCCTGCGTGTGAGGCCCTGACATCTTACAGAGCAGCAGTTTGAGGTCTGGCCTGCTAAACAGGCACTGCCCTGCCCTGCACACGGGACCTGGGTGGGGCATGATGAGGCTCTTCACCACGCTGCCCTCATTTTAGGAGGCGGAAAACCCTTTCTCCCCCTTCTCCATGTGCTTCTGCAGTTGGAAGAAGTGAGGAGCGTTCAGACACACTTGAGCTGCGCTTACAGCAAAGCATGTCCCTCAAGGTGACCTTGCCACATGGCCTGAATCTAGAATTCCCTTGAACAGCGTGGACAGCCATCACCATGGGTCTGTCTGCCCGGCCTTGTACGGCTCTCCTTCGAACTCACCTGGACCCTTGCATCAAAGGACTCAGGGACTCTGCTGTAGTCATCCTAGCATGGTCGAGAGGAGTAGGAAGGTCTCCAGCATCTGAGCCTTTAAGGAGGTCTGTTGGTCACCATCGCTTCTGCCTTCTTGAGAACCATTACCCTTGGAGCATCCGGTAGTGTATCCCAGTCAAGTGTCAAATGTGTTGCTCCCTGGAGAGGAAGACTTATTTCCAGAAAGTACTCTGATGTTTTGTAATTTGTGATTTCTGTCACTGGCTCAGTGGCCCACCCACTGCTCAGCTCATGTGGCATGACCAGGCTGGGGCGTCGGGTCATCTTGTTCTCTGGGTGTGTGGCAACACTGGTGTATGGCGTAATTTCCTTCTTGAGAAGAAATTCAGTAATTTCTAATATCCAGGGCTTTAGGTAGAGGCCTGAAAATCACTCTCCATGCCTCTTTCAGTATTTTATATATAGTCATCTCTTGGTATCCATGGGGGTTGGTTCCAGAATCCCCTGCAGATACCAAAATTTGTGAGTGTTCAAGTTCTTTATATATAGTGGCACAGTATTTGCACATAACCTAGGCATATCAGCCAATCATAGATGGTGATTTAAATAATCTCTTGATTACTTCTAACACTTAATACTCTGTAAATGTTTTGTAAGTAGTTGCTACCCGGCATTTTTTATTTGTTTTATTTTTATTGTTGTTTCATTAATTTTATTTTATTTTTGGAATATTTTCAGTCCATGGTTGGTTGAATCCACAGATGCAGAAGCCTTAGACACAGAGGGCCGAGCGTACCTATGTATGCCGTTCTTAAAGTAGCAACATATTGGTTCTGAACACATAAGAAATTAGTCGTCTATTAGACTTTAAGGGAGTAAATATGGTCCAAGTTGATTTTTAAATTTAGCAAATAGTCATAGACATATCAGTGTCTTACAGAAAATATTTATTAGAATGTTCATTCTCTCATTTGGGATGCTGCTTTGCCTTGCTGTATAATGTGTCTTAAGAATGTCATCAAAGCATTACACATTTGAAAAATGTTTTAAAAACGATATGATGACAATTAAGACCTTCTCCCCAATTCCTGCCTATTATCCAGGATAAATGTTTTTTTCCTTTATCCTGATTTTAAAATCAAATACACTTTATTGAGGCATACTTTACATGAAGCAAAATGTACCCTTTCTAATTATTATAAGTTTGATGAGTTTTCAACAGATATATACAGCTGTTACCATGACGGTGTCTTTACCCAGCTTCCTGCATCACTCTGTCCAGACACAGAATGTCTCCGTCACCTGACAAGTTCCTTTGTGCCGCACCCTCCAGTCAATCATCTGTTTTGAGGAGAGTTTTGAAACAAAGGTTTTTTTTTTTCTTTCTCACTGATGACCGTAACCTACCACAGGGTCTCTCTCTCTCTCTCTCTCTCTCTCTCTCTCTCTTTCACTGCTCTTGCACCAGCTGCCTGACAATTTGTGGGATTAAAGCTCTAAGCTGCTTACTGGCCCTTCTGACTAGGGAGAGGGAACAAGCCTCATTATTCGTCTATTCTTTTCGGTGCCTGCTCACTCCTCTTCCTCCCAAATCCCCATCCATCCATCCATCCATCCGTCTGTCTGTCTTTCCATCTATCCATCTATCCTTCCATCTATCCAATCCACTTGCATGTTGAATGTCTACTATGAGTCACTGGCTACCAGGAATCCCACTTCTACCCAAATTATGCCTCAACAGGGAAGACAAACAACTTAACAATTATGATAAAAAAGAAAATATGCCATACAATGGAAAAGAAGGGGGCATGATGGGAGACCCAGCGGGAGTAACTGGCAGTGATTCTCAGGGGGAAGAGACATTCCTAATGGACACCTGCAGGAGAAATATTAAAGAGTCAATCATTTCAATAACGCTTATTGTGAAACCAATAATGCACAAAGTTTCTGGGTTCCCAGGCTGATGGGTTTGAAAGTCACTGCGTCATGAACATACCCAGGACCCACACATTGTTTTGTAGGAGAGGGGTTCAGTAAAATGTGAAACGACCGACATTCAACAGGCAGAAATGTGCAGAATGCATGCTTTGCCACTGATTGAAAGCGTTTCTTCAATGGGTTTTGATAGAATATATGACTAATCTGATGAGAAACAGCTTAGGGCCATGCAAGGAAAGAAAATCAGCCCCTCGAAACGTGTTCTGTGGCTGGCACAGAGGTAGCTGCTGGTAATTTGAACAGGGTGAGCAGGACATCGTGGGCCTCATTGTGGGGTTAGCAGGGCCGGGCTGGGACAGTGAGATAATTTTCTAGGCGGAGAAAAGAGATAACATGGTAAGTTAAAAACACTGAAAATTCTGCGCTGCCAGAGTACAAATGTCAGCCAGGAAGGCCCTGACACTCTTGAAAGAGGGATTTGAGCAGTGGCCACTGCATCTACTTGGCACTCGTTCGCTGTGTAGAAGGGTCACCAAGTCCCTCATCAGAATCCTGAAAGGAGGAGAAACGGTGGGCCCAGGCAGTGTACCTCAATCACTTGTGAATAATTTCCGTCTTTCACAAACATAGCTATGATTGAAATGACATTTCACGAACAGCAGGGAAGGATTGTGGAAGAAAATGAGGTATGTGAGAAGCAAATCCATCTACCTGATTGCCGTGTAACTTTTGGTGGGTCACGGAGTGAGAATTTCAGATGTGAATTAAGGATTGCTGATATACTTGAAAAGTTTCCTCCATGTTCTACTTTAGAATCAAGAGGCCAGAGAAGCAGGAGGGAAGAGTACTTGTTACTTGTAGTGGACCTTCTTCCTGAATAATTTTTAGGGTAATTATGTATGCGGTTTCCACCTGAGTTGCTGACCTTTGGGTGAATGTTACTGGATATGCACCTATGGTACCCAGGCACACTTTCCGCGGGTTCTGTGGGCACTGTGAAGTGTGACAGACTTCGGCTTTTTATGACTTTTGGTCATAACATGTCCATAGAGTGCTTTTAATCTCCTGCAATTTAACGTATGAGAAAATCGATTTACTTTGTAGTGAGTTCTGTACATTTCACATAAAATTAAAGCGCTCTGAAAACCCAAATCTCCTGTGGGCAGCAATTCACACACAATATTCTGGAAATGTAAAATCCTAAATGCCTGCTGACTTGAAATCAATGTTTATAGCCTACATCTGAATTGCTCCGTGAATTGCTGGGCCCCTCTCCATCTACTGCCCTTCGCTTTGATTTAGTCACACGTTTCCAGGGGCTGACTTTCTTTTCTTGCATGGCCCTAAGCTGTTTCCCATCACATTAGTAATATATTCTATCAAAGCCTGTTGAAGAAACACTTTCAATCAATGGCCACGTGTGCATCCTGCATGATTCTGCCTGTTGAATGTCGGTCGTTTCACATTTTACTGAACCCCTCTCCTACAAAGCAATGCATGGGTCCTAGGCACATTCATGATTCAATGACTTTCAGGTCTACCAGCCTGGGAACCAGAAACTTCATGCATTATTGGTTTTACAATTTCAGCTGAGGCTGCCACAGAACAACTCAAAAGAAATAGGGTGTCCTGAGTGAGCCTGTTCCTTGACTTGTGTTTCAATTCTAAGGTCTATTGGCTTCACTGGCAGTGGGATGGCTGATTTTTCCCTCCTTTATCTAAGGGGACCTGCTGAGAGTCTCTATTTGGAAATATTTCCTGCCTGTCCTTAGGGGGGGTCAATGCCTGAATCTGTCCAATAATCAGATTTGACCAACTTGATTGAAGTGTGGGTTTTCCAGCACGATTAAACCTTGAACATATATGGCTTGAAAATGTACAAATGCTCTTGGAAATGACAGGATGATGGTTCTCAAGAAAGGGAAAAAAAGGTAGCATGTGACTTTTCATAGATAAATGCCTAATGCTAATGACGGTCAGGATTAATGTCATTTCCTAGATTTTGGCAAATAAACACTGGGTTACTTAGGCCTTTGTGGGCTTCCCAGGAAGGTCACCACCATTTGAAAGGAGAGTTTCAGGGAAAAAGCTGCCAGAGATTAAACAGAAGGCTTACAGATGTATCTTCCGAAGAGAACTGGCTTTTATAACTTAGCATCTTCCATGGACATCTTTTCTAATAGAAAAGAAGCTCTTCAAATGACTAAAACGATTGCTGTTTTGTGGAGGTGCTGATGAACAGAGGTTTCATCATAGTGGCATCTACCTGTACAAAGGAAATACTCAGAGTTCTGATTTCAGTTTTATCCATTTTCTTCTTTTGCAAGTGACGCATTCTTAGTGTGGTGGACCCTCTGTGAACCACAGCACAGAATCAGCAGTTTCTAAGCTCAAATTGACAAAGGCATGTGTCCTCCTGAATTTAAAATGTTTAAAAAGGTTTAAAAGCCTTTTAAACTGCAGAATTTAAAAGGTTCACAGATTTATTCTAGAAATAAAATGACAACTTTTCTGTAAGGAGCATACTGTGCCCATTTATTATAGAATGCAGTTAAAAAAAATATTTTGAGGTTAGCCTCTCCAGTTTAAAAGCACTTAACTAGAAACACTTGGACAGCGGTGCAATGGTCTCTCCCAAACAGGCTCCCTTTTACCAAGTACCGTAAACAGGGTTTGAGAACGTTCAATAGATTTCTTGATATGAACAATCAAAGCATTTAATGCAAACATATTGGCTTCTCAAAGAAAAAACCATCTTCCAAATTGCCAAAGCATGCATTGTTACTTGGCATTGGGTATTTCAAAATGACAAACTTTGTTATGGTATTGTAAGGCCAAAATATAATCCCTATTTACCAGACATACACATTACAACTAGAAAAAAATTACAAATGTTAACCTAGTATAACAATTCCATCAGGAATTAACGGGGAAAGGCACTGCATCCCTCTCATATCGCCACAGATCTACTATCCACTTGACACGCTTTGAATTCAAGTCCTGTTAGACATGGGAACAGCTTTTTCTACAACATACGATTCACAGGTAGGTTAATATATCTTAGTCTCCCACCGCCATACTTTTCACCCAAGTGTACAACAGGCATGAATATATGCTATCAGCTTTATTTACAAGTGTATCTTGATGTCTTAGTGGGGTAAAAAACCAACTATCTCAGCCAACAGTTTCCCAAAAAGTTTTTGGCTATGATTCATGTATAGAAACCACCACATAAAAGAAATAACAGAAACTGAGGTCCAACCCCAAACACCTCAACTAAAATTTCTCACCCACTAAAAGTTGGCAGTGAAACTGCTATTCTGTGAATTGTATAAGCTAAACTCTACAGAGGAATTTCAGATCAACTTCTTTTGCAAAAGCACAAGTTATACGTTGCACAGTTGAGGATGCCGAGTGAATGTATTCCAGGAGAGTTCTGCAAGCGAGTGCTGTTGCAAAGAGAGTCGAGAATCCTAGAATCTGGGAAAGGTGATACATTTTCCAAACGCTTTCCTGGCTTCCCAAAATAAGTAAAACAACAATGGTTTAACTTTATATACGAACAGAGGTTAGTCTTGAAAATCAGTAATATACATGCACAAACATGAGAACATGAGGGAAGAAAGGAAACGCTACAATTTCCACATTGCATTGCTGCTGTTTTCACAACCTCTCTGCACTAGGCGGCTTCCTGTGGTACCTCTTCCTACCAGTAGAGAGTGGCCCTGCAGGCTGCTTAGAAACAGAAAACTCTCTCCTGAGCCCACTGATCAACCTGCCCTTGGCACAGACAGAACCTACCAGAAAAGAACAAGTACAAAACACTATCATTATCGGTTTTCTCAAGACAGTCCCAAATGTCCTTGTGCGATCACCACAAACTCAGTGATTGGCCCAAGTCATTCCCGGGTGCCATGAACAGTAACTGGTGTGCAGCATTAGAACAAGGGGACATGGCCTTGATTCTCTTCTGAGCAACATGAACTGGGATTTCTGCCACCCCAATCTTGGCTGCCACCTCCGAAGAAGTCGTGACCAGCCACCTCCACAGTAAAAGATTCCTCCCGTGAGTATGATTTGGAATGCGTCCTCGTCGCGTGCCAGTTCAGCTGAGGTGGATCGGCGTGTACTCCGGCCTCCTGGTCTGGATAATTTTTGGCTTGGGTCTCTTCATTCTTTCCATTTCCTCTTCTTCCTCCTTCTCTTGATCACTCTCACATACGTGGACCACCACGCTGGGAGTGGTGTCAGTCGCTGCGTGCAATTCATACTTTTCCCCTAAGGAAAGAAAATAATTGCAGGGTCACTCCGACAAGTCCTTGGGAGTCAAAAGGCAAACATAAAAGAGCATTCAGGGCTCTGCTGGGCCAGCTGCTCGTGACCATTCGATTGGGCTGAGAGACACAGCCAGATATATTTTGGGTTTGTAAATCTTTGCTAGCTCATTCAGAAAAAGAGATATTTCCACTGTGCATGGCTCTGTTTTTAGTCAAACACTCTGGGAGTCCAGGCACATGAAAAGTATAGAAGGAATTTTTCTAGTTATACTTCGCATTTTCTAGTTACACTTCGCGTGTCCACCAGACATCTAAACTACCCAGAGAACTCCCCTTCCGTCAGCATTTCCTCAAGTGTGAACGTGAGAAACTTCGGTTCAGGAAAAAGATGGATGAAGAAGCGCATTTGGAAACAGAATCCTGGGCCTCCCTCGTGGGGCTCCTGTTGGAGGGTTGCAGTGCACGCCCAGGAAGGGAGTCACGGGAGGCCCTGCAGCAGGCGCAGGGGTGGCTGCATGGAGCCAGGCGCTCTGGGAACGTTTTTGACCTCGGCATCCTTTCCTTAGAACAACTTCGAATCCCCGGGACCAGGAGTGCCCTGCTGTTCTGTGTCAGCCTGAGTTCTACCAGGTTGGCCAATTTCAGGTCACTCTGATCCAGCAAGGGTAGGGTGACCTTTCTGCAACTGAAAAACCCGGCAATGCAGTGCAACTGAAAAACCCGGCAATGTAGAATGAAGGGGCTGGGGCCTCCCGTTGGGGTGCTGCTCTGGCCACAAGAAGAGTGTGCATCTCTGGTGCTTGTGAAGATAGCTCTGAGCCTGGCTCCTTAGTACCCAGGGCTCATAGGCACTTTATTCTGCTTCCCTGTGCACCTCAGTTCCCTTCCCAGTAAAGGAGATGGTAAAGGTATTGACTTCATGGAGCTAACAGCATGAGTGAATGCCCGAGGCACTGAGAACCCGGCTCACCACATGCTTGTCCAACCCATGTCACCTAGAAAGATGTGTAAGAATTGAGGGTCCATTGTTACTGGTGTGATGCTGGGCAGGGATCTGAAACAGGGGCAGGAGGTTTGCTTCAACCTGCTACACCCACAGGGTGTGGCCTCATGGTGAGTTTTCCTTCAGGGCTTTGTGCTTGGGATTTCTCTTTTCTTTTCTTTTCTTTTCTTCTCTCTCTCTCTTTCTTTCTCTCTCTCTTTCTTTCTTTGTGTTTTTTTTTTTTTTTTTTTTTGGAGACAGAATCTCGCTCTGTTGCCCACGCTGGAGTGCAGTAACAAGATCTCAGCTCACTGCAACCTCCGCCTCCTGGGTTCAAGTGATTCTCCTGCCTCAGCCTCCCAAGTAGCTGGGACTACAGGTCCAAGTAGCTGGGACTACAGGTGCATGACACCATACTCAGCTAATTTTTGTATTTTTAGTAGAGACAGGGTTTCACCATGTTGGCCAGGATGGTCTTGATCTCCTGACCTTGTGATCCGCCTGCCTCAGCCTTCCAAAGTGCTGGGATTACAGGCGTGAGCCACCCGGCCTGGCCTGTGCTTGGGATTTATTTGCAGTTCGGCTAAGCGAGGAGGCACCTCATCAACCACTGTGTGCCCATCACATGACTGATTTCCACCGGGCAAGAGTGGCCCAGCAGAGCTTCCTACCTCCAGCCACACTGGTTATTCCTCTAAACTTGGAAGATACTTTTACTTATAAGGAAGGTGGTGGTCTTTTCTCTATCACATGTGGGACTGAAATGTTATTATAACTGCACTGAAAAAGGTAAAGGAGCTTCAGCTCTCTGAGAGACAGAATTCAGGCATGGGAGGTCAGATGGATTGCTGAAAATGTTGGTTAAGAGCCTCTTACAAATCTACCTCTTTGCAAGTCTCTTATCTACCTACTAATCAGCCAAAATCCAGAAAGCTCAGGGTTTAGGACCATAATTTGCAAAATCTCCGCAATCCTGTTGGTTGAAAAGCACAGGTGAAATATGAAATCTCACTCAAGCTCACTATTAAGTGAACCAAGGACAAACTGATTTTATTACATCTATTTCCTAAAAAGCCTTCTCCAATAAGCCCTCGGTGAAGGAAGTGGTAGATTCTGGAGTATGAAGAATTTTTATTAACAGCATTTGCCTCTGGAACCGTTGACAAAACCTCTTTGCAAGTGGAGACCCTGTTTCCTCCCATCCCTAACCTAGGGGAAGACGCCACACCCTCAGCCATGCTCATGCCCCCTGGCCAGGAGCTGCCGTAGGGGGAGCACACACTTCCTCAGAATGGCCATTTCGGATCTTGACCTTCACGCCACAATTAGCAGTAAGTAATGTGACTCTTGCTTTATCCCACAGAGGGAATTTCCGTTTGGGCAATGTTTTCAGAAATGTAATCTTTTCAATATGAAACTGCTGATGGTCCAAGAAAACAAAACCCTCAACCCAAGGGAACATCAGATTGCTGGTCAAGGAGAAACGAGGAGCTGATGGTCTCAGCATTTATTCGACTTGCTCCACGGACAGAGCAGGAGAAGGCTCAAACCTCTTCACCCCAGGACTCTCCCTCACACCTGCCTCCTCACCCAAACCCTAGTGGACAGGGCAGGAACCACCAACATTTTATGGTTTTCAAAAAACCTGCATTGAACACTGTGAGCCAAGCGCTGATTGAAGCGCCTTTCACTCGATGATCTCATCTACTGCTTGCAAGTCCACCAGGTAAGGCCCACATTTTGGACAAACAGCCTGAGGAACCTACCCCCTCCCCGCAGTGCTCACACTTTTGTCCCTCCAGAGGACAGGAACCTCCTCTTTCTTTGGCAAGCCCTGTAGGGGACCAGCCCACGGGCCCTGGGGTAGGGCAGCCTGGCCGCGGCCCTTCCCTCACCATGGCCTATGGTTCTCCTTCCCTTTTCCTTTAAGAAGGCCAGGTGAGAATCACAGGAAAGGGTGAATTTACCTTGATTAAAAATAACATTTCTTAAAGGGGGCATCGATTTTCCCTTTCCAAAGTCCAATCACTTATCCCTATCTGGAGCGACAGGACCTGGGGCCGGGGCTCAGGTCTCCCAGGCAGGCTGTGCTCAGTGGACACAAGAATGGATTCCTGGGACACTGTGGGGGGTTGGGGGGGCGTCATGCAGGGTCCCCACAATCAGCCCCAGTCTAACATTGCAGGTGGCACCAAGAGGCAGGCATGCTCCCAGCACAAGGGACCGTGGTGCAGAAGAATACAGAGAAGCTCACAAAACACGCCTGCATGGGCTTACGAGAGCTACAGGGGTAGTGGGGGTACTGCTCCCCAGTGCAGGGGAGCAGCTGTGTCTCCCCCTGCCTCCCTCCCACCCGAGGGCCCTGCTCACCTGGCCCCAGCTTGGAGATGGCATATAAGAGATCATAGTTTATGACTGGGGTCGCATCTTCCACTTGTTTCCATCCCACCGGCGGAGAGGCAGGAGGGGAGATCAGAAACTGCTTGTCTGGATTTGGCGGAGCCAGGTGTGAGCTTCCTATGTGTAAGGTCTGAGGAGAGAAAACAAGCACAGGTCAGTTGTTGCCAGGGAAGAACTGCAGTGAGGCAACAGCACCTAATGCCAGCTTCTAGGAGATGGGCGGGTCAACGTCCAGGAGTCTGGACAGGTGTGATTCCAGGACCAATTGTAAGATGGTCTGTAACGGGGAGGGCAAAAGGACATCTGAACTCTGCTTATGGCGCAGATAGGATGACAGCCCCCTCCCAGGGCTGTGGGAGTCACAGGCACAGGGACTGCAAATAATTATGCTTGACCTAGATGGACAGAAGATCAGCAGAGGTGACTTTAGTATACGTGGAAAATTAAAGTCACTGTCACTGAGGTCAGGAGGGCTCTTGGAATCAATTTCTCCCCGCTCCTCACACCACAGAGGCACACTCTGAAAGTCCAAAGCCTAAGCGACAGTTCTGAGAGGACACAGCTTCTCAGGGACAGGGAGCCAGGGCTCCATCTGCCCCTAGGGTTCCCCACCCAGCGGCGGCCCTGTGACTCCCTCCTGGGGACTCCAGATCAGATGCCAGAAAAAAAAAAGCCACCTCCCAGAAGACTTTAAAAACTAACAATAAGGAACGATACCCTATGCTCCTAGTTTGGTTTTAGAAATGCTGACCCGTGATGAGAGGGCTGTCCAGAGAGCTCTTACACACATCACAAGCTGCGCGGCGTAGGTTTTCTCTGCACTTCCAGATTGCCCTCCCCAACTTTTCACAACGAATATGCATTGTTTTACAATCAGAAAAGGTCAGAGGAGTAATAAGTAATTATTTGCATAAAATCTCATCCAGTGCAGAAAAGAGTATACTCACAGAGGAAGCCCTAGGCACCCAAGGTCAAAGCTCGGCCTATGCCTCCCAGGGCAGAAAGGTCAGGGGTGCAGCGGGGATCCCAAATGCTTTATTTATATTTGAAGGGCCCAGCAAGTTCCCTGTCCTCACTTTGGGGAAGAAAAGACACTTTGACTCTCTGGCATGGAGTCGGATGAGCTTCCTCCCTCTGTGGGAAGCCTCTGGACAGGGTCCTCTCCCACCCCAGCAAGGTATGTGTGTGCAGGGGGAGGGCGGGGGGTGCTCAGAGCCTGAGAGGGACTCGCTTTACCGAGGAGCCGCATTCTAGAAGCTCCTTTCCTCTTCCCTGACAATCTGTCAGCCCCTAAGGACAGCAGATGGAACTCTGGGAGCTGCCTTGAAGGTGGGTCACCTGTCCTAAGTTCCCCAGAGGAGGGTCGAAATGGTAGTGGGCAGGAGAAGAAGCAAGCCCAACCCCAGCTACCCCTCTCCCTACCGTGGGTACCCTGCGGCTGGGAACCTTGCCAACTGGAGGGTTTCTTAGCATCTGCGCCCAGTCTGGTTATCCCCTGTTTTCCTTTCAAGCCAGACCTAGCAGTCCTGGGCTGATTTGCAGGCATCTTCTGCAGACTCCTCTTTCTCTGCTGAGTGCCCCCAGCATCACATGAGCTGGGAACCACTCTGGTCTGCTCAGTCTGGAGTGGGTCGTTAGCTCCAACCCTAGAGCAAATCCATGGAAACCTGCTGCCCAAATCTTAGGGTATTTGCATAGCCACGCCCACCCTGCTGCACCCTGTAAGCTCCCCAGTGAACAGGGAAGGCTTTCTTTCCCCCATCATTATCAACCCAGGAAGGTCAGGGGTGATTTCTAACGTTGCTTTCAAATGCACCTTGATATCTTCTTAAAACAAGTGAGGCACTGAACATTCCGATTAGGAATTTTGCCTTTCTCTTCATCTAAGATGAAGTCTTAGAGTTTCCGGTCAGCATATAACATAAGCGACATACAAGATGCTTTATAAAAGGGAGTGAGGGAGGAGGGAGAAGCATGCATAGCAACGAACCCAACTCACCTGAGCAAAATATAACTTCATTTCCTTTCCCAGAAACTCAGTCTTATGCAGCTGGAGCCTGGCATCTGCTGCGGAGAAGGGGTTGCTGAAGTTTATTCTGACTCGTTTGAAGCTCTTAAAATACTGAAAGGTGATATCCTTGTCATACGTCCTAAAGAGGGACTCAAATTTGGCCTGAAAAATAACAATAAAAATAAAAGGAGTTGAAATTTACCTGCATATGACCCTTGACTAGATGATGTCATTACATTTTTTTTTTTTTTTTTGAGACAGAATCTTGCTGTGTCACCCAGGCTGGAGTGCAGTGGCGCAGTCTTGGCTCACTGCAACCTCTGCCTCCCAGGTTCAAGTGATTCTCCTGCCTCAGCCTCCAGAGTAGCTAGGGTTACAGGTGCCTGCCAGCACACCTGGCCAATTTTTGTATTTTTAGTAGAGACAAGGTTTGTCATGTTGGTCAGGCTGGTCTTGAACTCCCGACCTCAGGTGATCCGCCCGCCTCGGCCTCCCAAAGTGCTGGGATTACAGGCATGAGCCACTGTGCCTGGCCTCCTCAATACATTTCTTACTGAGGAAGTGGATCATCAATCCTTTCAAGAACTCCTAACTTCTTAGAGAAAAGCCTTTCCCCTCTTAGGGGACTATGGCCTTTTAGTCCTAATGCAGATATTTTACAAGAAGGCAAGAAGGTATGATTTACTACATTCATCTAATCAGCAGAACAATTGCCAATACATAGACAGTATTTAGGGTAACAAACTTTTTAAAAAAGTAGAATGAGCATTTTCCAGGGAGGTACAGTTTGGTAATTTGTTCCCCATGTTTCTCTGTCCTATGACCTTCCCCTGCTTACCCCCCCATATTTCTCTGTCCTATAGCCTTTCCCGGCTAGCCAACTCCAACCCCGCCATTCAGCTCAGGGCAATGTTGTATATATGAAGTATTTCTTTAAGGCTTAAAAACACTGCAGCTAATTTGAAAAAAAGAAATACTTGAAAAATAACAAAGTTGAAAGAAAGTTTTGCATTTCTTAAAATCAGTAGATTTTTAAAACTTCCACGATCGCTTTTATCTCAAGTCTGTTACTTTTTAACTCTCTAAAATGATACTGGTTTAAAAATTAATGTTCTGCAAATGGACCGTTTTCGGCATCCTGGCTTTCATGTCTATGCACACCTCGCTCTGGTGCCATAGGGCTAGTGAGAATTAGGAGATGTCATGAGCTCTTAGAATGCAAAGCCCGAGGTGGGGGATTCCAAGCTCAGGTTGCTCAGGGGAGAGCCCCCTGGGCTGGGTCCTGGAGTGTGGATGTCAGTGGGGGCAGCTGGGGGCCACCGCAACTCCTCGGAGAGGGAGTTTAACTGGTGGACAGTCAAAGCTCCAAGGAAGACTGAATGGGCTTCTAGTTGCCGGGTTTTGTGAATCTTTTTACCAGGTAAAAACACTTAGGACAGTTTGTGGGAGCCTGTGTGAAAGGCAGAAGGGGCTGGCCAGGAAGAAGGCGATGGCACGGGGCGTGGATGGTAGGCAGCGCGAGCAGAGCTCACCGAGTACCTTGGAGAACCTATGGAAGGCAGTGTTTCTGCAGTGGGAGCGAGAATTCGGGATAAGAGAGGAGAGTGTCTTCAGGAATGTTCACTGCTGGCAAGCGCGGGGAGGCATGGGTGGATGGTGCCTGCTCCACTTGGGACTGGGGCTGCGGGTAGGAAGGAACAGGGTAGCCGGTCCCTCCCAGGCATGTTGTTAAGGGGCAGTCGGAACAACCTACGACCTTGCTCTCCTTGCATTCCCTGTCTTTTTCTTCAGTTTATGAAGATTTCTGAGACTTTCCCACAAGGGATCCTGCAGAGGCACGTGTGAAGGAACGCGGAGCTGGCGGACAGTGGAGTTCATCTGGCCGCCTCTCACTCTCTTCCCCACCTCTCTTGAGCACCGGCAAGTTTCTGGCAAAACTGTGTCTTCGTACATTTGGAATGTTGACCTCATCAACAGGCACTGTGACCCACTGTTTAGTTTTGAAGTTATGATTCAGAATTTGGGAGAGATGACTTTGAAGAATATTTTTAGAATACAGGTTCAGGGCTTAGGACTAGAACAAAAGAGAACTCACATTATCTTTAAAATCTAGATGACTATGATGCCATTCTCTTATAAATGAATCTTATTTGTTCCAATAACTGATATTCAGTTATTATAGCTTTTGGATGGCATCTCTACTTCATTTAAAAAAAACAGTGATTTTACTCACATAAGGCTAATGCTAAGTGCGCTCACTTTGCAGGACTTTAAGAACATAGAACGTGCTCTGCGATCTAGTCCAAACACAATGGTGCCAGATCATAAGCCTTACATACAATTATGGACTGACATTTGATTTTAAAAAAGAAACCTTTGCATGTCTCAATATGGCTTTGGGTATACAGCATATAACACCACCATGCACAAATACCATCTCTCAAATAGAACATACAGGATTCATTCCTATACAATATTATTAAAGTTCAGTTAGATAGCTGGGTAGCTGCTGATAAAAAAAACTTAACATTTTAGTCAAATGAAGAAGAAAAGTGTACTGATTAAAATCATTATATTAATCACTATCAAAGAGAGCTGCTGCGCAGGAGGCACACTGATCTCACACTTAATTTCTCCAGTTTTATTATTTGCTCTGGCTGCATTTTCTCTCATTAGAGAAGTCTGGGAGCTTGAGGCCAGGCCCTTGTAATTACTACAAACATCCAAGTATCTTTATAACATTTATTTCCTAAGACGATACGAAAGTATTCGCAACGCTGGCTGTAAAAGTAAAACACTGTTCACCGTCAGAAGCAGCCAGTTTCTGAAAAGTTCACTTATAACATACACAGAATGAAAAGCACACGATGCCCAGCTCTCACCTTCCTAGTTAGTTGGTTCAGGGACCTGGATGTTGTCAAATATTGAGATCTTTAGAAATTCCTTCCTTAGTTAATTCCTCAGGCAACAGCTTTTGATTTTCAAGGCTCAAAAGACTTTGGATTTCTTTCAAAACCCCCAAACCCACAAGAGAGCCACATTCCCCCAAGTATTTCAGTTAGTAGTCCCAATTAGCATAATGCTTTGAAAACTAAAGAAAATCACGTTATATTAGAAGCCTTACCCTGGTTTCACTTTCGCTGAAGATATCACTGTTTGCCACACAGGCAATCAGGGAGCTAAAACTGTAGTTAAAGTTTCTAAAATGCATCTTGGTTTCTTAACAGTGAAAGCGCTAGGGAACCACGCAGTCAAGCCCCTAGTGAGATTCCTTTCCAAGAGGCTGTAGGATCCTTCTTGAGCCGGTGCTTATAAAGCAGTGAGGACCAGCCCCCACTCCCTGGGAAAAAAAAAAAAAGCGCAGCTTCCACAGCATCCTGTTTGGACAGCAAATTCCTGAGTCAAGTCCTGCATGCTTGCAGGCAGACAGGGACAAAGTGTAAGTTTCTACTGGAAAGAGGTGACGTCAACACCTTAGTCATTTTCCCTATGCTAATTAACTTTGCTTGGGGAGAATGGAAAAAACAGCTGAGGTTTGCTTTGCAGCTGCTTTATCAACCCCTCTTGCAGCATAGTTTCCACTGGTAGTAATTCCATTCAGCTACTCAGACAACACGCTCCTCGGCCGAATGGGACGACCCTTCTTAAGATGGAAAATGTTACAAAAGAAAAAGGATGAAGGTCTGTGGTAGTAAACAGCAATTAGACTGTAGGGAAATTTCAAGGCTTTGGGAAACCTGGAAACCAAAGTCTGGGTGACATACTTGATCCCTGGAATTTCCTGAAAACCTCAATCAAAGTTTCACTTCGGGGTATTAGAGAAAACATTTTGAAATCTGTCTTGGTCAATAAAAATTTTAAAGGAAAAAAAGAGGAATCATTTTGAAATGTAGTTAAATTTTTTTTTTTCCGATGACATTTTATTGGATGAATGTCCCAGTTTCTACTTGTATCCCACAGTGGAATGGAGCAAAGAGAACCTAAAACACTCCTAGGATTTTCATTTGAAAACTTTATTATTATAATTTGAGAACTAGGAATATGCAACACTTTGATCATTTTCAAAGCACTACTGAATTCTGGCAAAGGATACAAAAACACTTTAGAGAACCTAGCCTTTGAAACTGAGCAAAGAAGCATTAACCCATTTATGCCAGAGGTTGCAATTTTTGGAATTTTTGCCATCAGACCTTGGTGATGACCTTGGGCAGTAGGATATAAATAACTCTCACATGCTTAGCGTTCCAATAATGGAACACTAGGCATAAGTGGGTTAAGAGGTCCTGCTTAAAGACTCATAAACTAAATGTTAAAAGAAAAAGGAAAGGAAGAAGAAATGGAAAGAATGTACACTATAATTGAAAGGGAAGATGCAGGGAAGATGCCTGGTTCGGAGAAGTGCACTGGGATGCAAGACTGACTCGAATTCTTCCAAAAGGTTGCAACTCTTGAACCTTCTAAGTATTTTACCAGTTTAGATCCCTAAGGCAGCCTGAGTCCTATGTTCTTCTCACTCTCTCCAATTTTATTATCACCTAAAAGCACTCAAGTTATTTAAGCTTTCTCTAATTTAGGGGCACACAGGGACAGCTCTCAAGCTTCCAGAAGTTAAATGGAATACTGCCATTCACATTTAAAAATTAACCTCAAAGAATCATTAAAGTCAGCCAATAATTTAAAATACATGCAAGAGGAAAAAATAAAGGAGGGCATTTAGCCTTCCAAAAAAGGAAAAGCAAAGTCCTCTTGGATGAGTGAATGTTGCTTAATTTCAACGCACTGTGCCTTGCTGCCAACTGTAGAGTTATGTAAGAAACCAGTTACGGTGTCTGCTTTGCCAAATTATCCATAACTCCCAACCTGAAAAGACATAAATGCATGTATTCCAAAAAAGTGTAGAATACTGAACAGTGCAACATGCATCAAACACCAAGGGGAAGTGGTCATCCGGGAGGAGGCTTCGAGAGGGAGCGTGTGTGCTTGCAGTGCTGCATTTTCAGTACAGGGAGCCTTTGTCTGTCCAGCAGGCACATGAAGATTGTGGTGGTGGGCAGGAGAGGCTAAGGGGAAACAGAGGTGGGGGCAGCAGACACAGTCCCGCATTCCACACCTCCCGAGGGGCTTGGAACTTCTCTGATGTTCCCTCCCCATCTCCAACTCTTGTTTCCCCCTTTTCTCTTCTCCTGGCATGCAACTGGGCAAATTTCATTAAAAGGCAATCAGAAGAGACAGAAGAGGCTAATTTAGACGCAAGAGACTAATTTCACTGTCTTCCTTTTTCCTTTAAAATCACAACACAAAGTTCCAGCTCAATTTTGTGGGCAAATCTTAAACATCTCTGTTCATCTGAGACAACAGTGTGGGCTCATCCAAATTTACAATTTTGATTTCGTTATATGGATGGAAAAAAAAAAAAAAAAGAACAGTGAGGTATTGGAAGATTGTTCAACTGTCTTTGCTCATAGAAATGATAAATCTTTCACTAGATTGTCCCAAAACACGTAATTCTGTGTCTCCCTTTGCATTGATCGGTTCTATCTACCTGAATTGAATTTAGTAAATTTGAGCACTTCTATTTTTAGATCAGGAGTAAGAGCTGGTTAAAATGGTGGCTGCCATTTTGTAGGGAGGCTGGAATGCATGTTCTCTGGCAAACAAACACTGGTTCACAAATTGTACCAGAGACCTGGAACAGGGGGAGGGCACTTAGGATCCGCCACCTTGGTTTTCCTTGGCTAAAATGTGAGAGGTATGGAGCAGATTTGAGTTTCCAAAGTGCGTCTTGTTGAGTAGCAGGAATCCTCAGTGGCACTTGGACACTCTGGTTGGCCAAAAGGGCAAAGCACAGGGTTTCCTGGGACACCTGTCCCTGTACCCGTAGGTAAGACTGCCTTATGCTCATGTCAATGCCTCCTCATCTGCTCATCTGACAATTCTTGCTAAGAAAGGCTGTCTTTGACTGCATGTCTATTATATGTGAACTTGGATTTCTAAAGGTCCTATGCAAATCAATTTACTTTATAAATAGTGATTCTCCCCAGTGAGAATAAAAACGGATCCAAAGCAAGTATTTAAAAAGCTGACTTTCCTACTTGTATATTCCTTGTGGTTTTGGAGGCAAGTATATTCCTCATTCTTGCTTGCTGGTTGAATGTGAGTGATCTGAAGAAAGCAGTGCCCACAGCAAGACCTCTGATACGGTTTGGCTGTGTCCCCACCAAAATCTCAGCTTGAATTGTATCTCCCAGAATTCCTTCGTGTTGTGGGAGGGATCCAGGGGGAGGTAATTGAATCATGGGGGTCAGTCTTTCCTGTGCTATTCTCATGATAGTGAATAAGTCTCATGAGATCTGATGGGTTTATCAGGGGTTTTCACTTTTGCTTTCTCATCATTTTCCCTTGCTGCCACCATGTAAGAAGTGCCTTTCACCTCCCGCCATGATTCTGAGGCCTCCCCAGCCATGTGGAACTGTAAGTCCAATTAAACCTCTTTTTCTTCCCCGTCTTGGGTATGTCTTTATCAGCAGTGTGAAAACGCACTAATATAGTCTCATCAGAGCTCTTGAGAAGTATTCTAAAAACTGCACTCAACATGACAAAACTGAACCCAGAAGTTAAAGTAAATGAATGTTTTAGTCAACTCAAAGCTTTAGATGCTTTGCATTTCTTCCATTCACACCATAAAAATCATAAATGAGTCTCTTTAACCTGCATTTGCCTCCTCTGGCTCCAAACAGTTAGAGCATGTTTCCATTAGGAAGTTTCTATTTTCAGTGAGGAAAAATTAAGGTTTATGATGAATTCCATCATTCCCATTACAGCATTCTGAAAGCATCATTAGGATGACTTCAGCACATCCATTATTAACTCTAAGGAGCTGACAACTGCACCAAGAATGTGCCCCCTGTGAAGCTGTCTACAATATGAACTGACCAAAGACAGAAACTGAGTTTTGACTTCCAACACTGAGCAAAAAATGAGGCAACTTGCAAAGGCTCTCTTGTGAATGAAAATGACAACAATTACATTTTATTTCAGTTTTCTGCTTCTACAATAGTGAAATCGTTGTGGTTTTTTTTTTTTTTTTTTTTGAGACTGTTTTGCTCTTGTTGCCCAGGCTGGAGTGCCGTGGCGTGATCTCGGCTCACTGCAACCTCTGCCTCCTGGGTTCAAGCCATTCTCCTGCCTCAGTCTCCCAAGTAGTTGGGATTACCGGCATCTGCCATTACGCCCAGCTAATTTTTGTATTTTTAGTAGAGACGGGGTTTCACCATGTTGGTCAGGCTGGTCTCGAACTCCTGACCTCGTGATCCACCTGCCTCGACCTCCCAAAGTGGTAAAATAGTTTTACTGTTACTTCATATGTGTAACCGTTCCCTATAGAATGTGGAGCATTGTTCCCCAGGCTAAGTTACCATACAAGAAAACAAAAACAAAAACAAAACCGCAAGGGTTTGCTCTCTTCCTCATCTTTACCACTTTGCGGTCTAAAAGGCATTATTAACTACAGAGAGGGTACTTGTTCTCAACTTGTAAGAGGGATAAATATCAAATGCAGAGTTGTGGAGAGGATTGATTTAGTGATGGAGGCAAAGTGCCTAGCACAATGCCTGAAACACAGGTGGTGGCTAAAGCATGTCAGCTGCCTTTCTATTTCCCATTTCATCGATAAAGATATTGAGGTTCAGAGTGGCACACTACGTTTAGGAGAGCTGGAATTCACTCTGGGCTTTTGATTGCAGATTCCACGCTTGTTCCAAGGAACTATGCCCCCCTAGTGCCAATGTCCTGTGGTACTGTAGCTTATTTCCCCATCTCTCTGGATGGTCCAGGGCACCTTGAATGTCCTCCTATGTGCCCCGCAGGTCCACAGAAAGTCCCCTGGTTCTCTATCCCATCCTTCACCTTGCATAGCACTCCAGGCAGCCCTCAGCAACTGTAATACCCTCCTAACTGGCCTCGCTTGGCTCGTGTCTTACCGCTCCAACCTAGTGTGCGAGTCTGACACATAAAAATCCCTGATACTGACCAAGCTCGGTCACGTTCCTCTCCCGCTGTATAAACTTCAGTGATAAGCACCATTCCTGCTGTAGCCCAGGCAGACTGTTCAAGGTTGTCTTGTGTCTTTCTTGTCACATATCCTGCAAGTGCTGCTCTCATCTTTATGCTCCTCCAAGACAAATGGCTTATGTGCCTCACACCTCCCCTCTTCTCTTCCCCGAGTCTCTGCTCTTGCTCTCCCTCTCCCTGGATTATTCCTCCTTCTACCCTTTCCTTTCCTTCTTTATTTTAAGATTGAGCGCAGGCACGTCGTTCTCCAGGAAGCGAACCATGACCCCCTGTGTTAAAAAATATATATTATTTAATGATGCCTGCTGAAGCCCGACAAGGCAGACTTTATTCAGGAAAGCCACGATGGGTATAGAGACCACCGCAACCAGGTCTTACAGTGGGGGTTGGGGGCTGGGGTAGATTGAGCTCAACTCCGAATACAGCATGGCAAGTGGGAATTTATGGCCAAGGAGCAGTGTCAGGGTCAGTGGTGGAAAATTACGAAGAGGAAGCTTTAGGATAAAGAGGACTCTGGCTAAACTGACCTAATAGGATTCTTCCTGAAGACAGGCCCAGGTGATCAGATATCACCTGGGGGATGGTAGAAGATGAAGAACCCAATCAGATATGAAGGGTGGGGGTGCTCCTGTTAAACTGACTTTGCGGGATTCTTTGCCAAAACTGGGTTTTGTAAGGAAGTGCACAGGTGAGCCTAGGAAAAAGTTCAGAAACTTGACCCAAGTTTGGCCAAGCAAAAAATTTTTGTCACCCCAAACCCACTCATGCACCCTTGTCCAAAGTTTGTTCAGCACTCTCCAAACTTCCTACATCTGTCTCTAGCACCGTGCTCACTTCAGCAGGTGACCACCTATGTGATGACACTCTGGTTCTAAACTGTGAACCTCCTGATGGCTTGAGCCACATCTTACTCCACTTGATAGTCCTGGTGCTGGTGCAAAATAGTCTCAAAAATGCCAGCTAAAGAAACAAA